AGGAACAGGAATTCCACACACACACACATCGTAAGCCACCATAGACACAAAACCCCTTAATTCTAAGCCCTGAAATCCCAAACACAAAACCCGGAACCCTAAACTCTAAAAACAACCCCTCAACCCCAAACTCTCTAAACCCTAAACCCACCACTTTACTTTTCACCGAGTCGCTTGTGGACCGAGTCCTGCTGAGCTTGGCGCCGCCGACCCAATGGCTTCCTGGTGGGTAGTTCTTTAAAATTAGGTCCTTTTTGAGGTCCCCAAAACAGTACGGCACCCTTAAACACCGACCCTGAAAGGGACCCTAATTTAGAGAACTACCCTCCTGTTAACCAAGGCATCTGAGGCTTTCGGGTCCACACTGCAGAAAATTGTGTGTAAAACTATACATATCTATGTAAAAATGTACGTAGGGGGTTTTGAGGATTTTGAGGCTTTTAAGCCTGCAAGCTTTTCCTGTTTTGTGTGAACTCTTTTCCTGGTAGCTTGCTAGAAGCCTCTAGCCGAAACGGTTGGTTTAGTGCTCTTTATGAGAGTCTCACAGTTTCGGGCTTATACAGGCTCATAAACATGCGTCTATCACAGCTCAGGGCCCTTGAGAATTAAGGCCGGAGACCAGGCCTTAGGGGCTTGCAGTTTCAGGGTTGAGATATTTACGGCACGGATCCCTAACCCCCCAGGTACCTACTGTATGGGGCCCTAGGCGCTCTAGTACCCTATATAGTAGGTACCTGGGAGGGTTAGGGATGTTCTTGGGATGCGTGCAAGCGGTACGGGCTTCAGGACTCTTTTGACCCCGGGGCGTGGCCCGGCTTTCCTGGCTAAGGATCTTCTGGCGCTGGGGCTGCTGGGAACTGCGATAGTAGTACTCTTTCGAACGTTTTGATCTTGAGGCCTTAAAACTGGGTCTCAAGGCTGCTGTAGTCGCTTTTGGGTTGAGGGGGTGTCGGTGTTCAGCGCTTTCTGGAGGGTTTTGGGCCTTGTTGCCGGTCCTTCTGGCTTTGGGTTGCCATGGCCTCTGTCACAGCTAGGCCTGAACGGGACTCAGTTGGATGTATCCAGGAGTTGGAAGTCAGGGCGCATGCGATGTCTTGCCGCTGAAGGTAGCAGAAGGACACGGCTCTCAAAGGCAAGACCATGCAGCAGTGTCCTGTGTCATGGTGTTACCCACCTTTCGCACGATGTTGTTCAAACTCTCCTTTGCTGCGGTTCGGATGTAGCAAGGGAAGCTTATGCTCGCAGAACTCCCAACTTGTCCAGCAGTACTTCAGGGAAACTCAACGCTAACCTTTGGGATGATATGAGGGTTGTAGCTCCTCACCTCTACTCACTTAGGCCCGGCTTTGATGTAACTCGGAGACCCATTGACCAATGCTTTCCAACTACCTCCTCGGCGCTATCAGTTGGTGACAACCATGCGCACACACAGGTGGTAAGTGTATGTGTTTGCAGATCGCAAACATGACATTGTGCAACAGCAGCAGCAGCAGCAGCAGTAGCAGCAGCAGCAGCCTACCATTATGCTTTAACTCATACCAGCTCCTCTTCTTCATACATGGTTTCCCTCTTGCTTTCACAACTATCTGGGTTCATTTATGTCTGCTTTTTCGTATGCACACAAGCACACACGCAAATATTCAAGTATGCAAAAACATACACATACATTGTTACCAGTGGTTGAGTCCCTGTGTTTATGCGTCGGCACACACGCAACTAGTATATGTATATAATATGTTGACATAAACACATGCAGACAGACAAGCAGGCAGACATACATAGACATGCACAGACTTACAAAAACATCCACCATCCTAAACTTTCTAAACCCTTCTGTCTCTAAGCCTGCACTGAACCTAACTTAACGGCTCTGTCTTGCTCTTGCTCCAAGAAGCTCGCATATCTTCCGAAAACCTGAAGGACGTGCTTTTTGCTGGGTTTCGGGTTTAGGGTTCTCCATGTCTTTGCATGGGCGGGGAATGTGACCCTTGTTTCTTGCAGGGCCCAATCAAGACACGGTTCCGAATCATGGCCCAGCGAAAAGACTTACGACAGAAGGCGCTTAGTCGTTCACGATTTTGGGGTTGGGGCTGGGGGCTGTCCCACTCATAGTTGGCCTGTCAGCTCTGGTGGCAGAATCCAGTAAGTTACCCCGGGGCCTTCGATGGTGTCTGCAGAGATACGTTACAGATGTGGAGACTTGCAAAAGATGCAGTCAACCTGCTCGCGAGCAGGCAGAAATGTCAGCTGATTTGCGCCGCAAAACTTTCTGTTGACTCGAAAACGCTGAAGAGCCTCAGTGACCCCAAAGACGAAGTGTCCTGCAAGCTCACCTTGCTCGACCTGTATGCTCGAAGATCCAAACCTGAAGCCGAAAATATCTGAAACCTAAGTGCGACATCACGTAAACTCTATAATGTGGGAACCTGATTAAGAAACCCTGAGAGCATCCCTACGTCGTAGTAGGGCCTACGATCCCCGGAAAACTCCGGAAGATTCACGTCCTCACACCCCTGAACTTGCAAAGCGCGCATGGCCAAGAGCTGCAGAGTAGCAGGGACAGCTGCACCCCTTGGGCGCTCGAAGCGGAGCTCTGCGGATACCTGGAGGTATCGGATATTCTTCGGCGGTACAGGATTTCAGTGTCCAGCATTTCGCGGCCAAAGGGCTCTAAGGGGTTTCGGCAGATTGGAGTCCTAGAGTTTTGGGGCTTAGGTGGAAGGAGAGGCCTTGAGCTGAAGATGCTCGAGGCGTGCAACCTCTGCACGTTGCACAAACCCTTTGGCCCTAATCCGAATGAAATTTCAGCCGCCGCAGTCACAGATATCTAGACACAAAGGGTCCTAAGTCCCTTTATGGGGAATAAATTGAATACTCACCTAAACCACAATTGTAGTTCCTACGATCGAAACCCGACTGTCTACCAAAAAGTTATAATATAGGTAGTTAGGGTCCTTTTAGACAGGGGCATGTCTCCGGAGCACGTGCACTTGGCCGAAACTCCTTGGCTTCTGAAAACTTACCTGGAGGGTCATACATTAGGGGCCCTAACAATGACCTGTACTATTTTGAGGGTTCCTTATTAGAGTTACAGTGTACTATTACCCCAACACCTTATTCGAATCATTAAGGCCCTGACATTACCGGTTTTAGAGGTACCTAGATTTAGCCCTGTGGATCTTTAATGAAACAAGGTGTAACCCCACAGGTAATCCCTGAACCGCAGGGGTATCAAAGAAAATTAGTTTACTTACATCAGCCCTGAGCCCCGGTGAAACTCGGGAGTTTTCGAGAACCTGGGGAGGACAAAAAACCCTTGAATAATAAAGCTTTCGGGGCCTTTTGGAGTGTTGGTTTAGAAGGGCTAGAAGGGGACACCACTACTACTTATACGGCTTGCAGTATTGAGCTCCTGACCTTCGGTGGTGTAAGTTGGGTTCAGGCTGCAAGATGTGTGGAGGAAGCAAAGGTAGATGCTCAGCATCCAGACAAAATTTTGGGAGGCAAAATGATTGTGAAGACTGCTGCCTTGGGCTATAGTTTGCTGTGAATCCCCCGCGCAAATCGAAGGGGGTCCTCTCGGAACCTGCCCTGTCATTCGGTGGAGAGGTCTTCGTTGCTTAACGCAAGGGCCTCCCCGAAGACTATGTACTGGAAGAGCACATCACTTCAGAGATCTTGCGGCTTTTACCGCGTTCACCGGTTCTCGGCCACCCGTTCCTGTTTCAGAGAACGACACCGAATCTCAAAGGGCCCCAGTACACCCCCAACCAACAACATATGCACAGAAGCAAACGATGGCATAGTCCGAACTTATCCGGAATGCCTACAATTCTGGAGCCAGGCTACCTCAATAGAGGCCATCATCTTAGACCAAACCTGACACGCCCAATTCCTCAAGACTTAGCCCGTCCCAGGCACTCAGCTGCATCACCAGGTTCCAAAGCTGTCTCTCCACCGTTCCGGAAGACGCTGAGGTGGGGTGGCGAGGTCCTGAAGTCAAAGTACACGGAACATCCTAGATTTCAACATTGTCGACTCGGGATCGAATGTTGCCTGCAGAAAGCTTCAGAATGATTGGAAGTCCTCTGAGTTTAAGGTAAGTTGCCTTGAAGTTTACAATGTGCGGTTTTCAAAATGATGGAGTAGAAAGCCCGTCTTCCACTGCCTCAACCAGACATCGCCTGCAGAATAATTTGACCATTCGTTTATGAAGGAACTGCCCTCCAAAAACTCTGGGGCTGTAGAGGTCCCTCCCATCCCGAGATTCCTAAATTCAGCATTGCCACAAAGGCGCCGGTCTTCTGATGGGCGTCCGTTGCTCGGCAGCAATGGCAAGGTCACGTCTGCAGCCATATCCGTAGGCTCGGGCACAACAAGGCCTGAGGATGCAGGCTCAAGATTGCCCATGGCATATGAGAGCATTCCTACCTGCACCTTCTTGCTGGCTATATAAATATAAATATACATAAATATATATATATATACATACATATATATATATACATACATGGGCTCAAGACGACAAGCCCCAAGATATGAGCTTCAGGGTGTGGTTTGGCTGTTCCTTGGCCCATGCACTGCCTCACCTTCTAGAACAAAGGATAAGGTCTTTGTGTACTCCTTCGTGGCCTCCCTGATCCTCGCGACTGCGAGGCAAACAGCACAGTTAACTCCCAGTGCTGCTTCAAGCAAATACAAACCTAGGCAACATAATACAATGGGCAACCTTTTACAGTTTCACAGGTGTGGACCAAAAGGTGACGAAGTAGAGCAAACAGTGTGAACGGGTAAGTCTTGTAACTCTATCAGAAGCTCTCTCGGCAGACGTTCCTTCTCAACCCGATCAGTAAAAAAAAACACATCAACCAAGCACACAGCCCATCCCGAAATCCAAAACCACAAGAAAGCGAGAAAACCCAAAGTCAACCCGGAACCTCCTCCAAACGCCGAAAACCCCCACCTGGCTCGGCCGTGCTCGTAGAAGGTCGCACGTCCGAGATGATGCCGGAGCCCGTCCCGGAGTCGCCGACCTTCAACGGTGCAATCATTACAGGGCCTTCATGACGAGAATAGGGCTTAGAAAAGGGCCTCAAGGGCGCAGAATCCTACAACAAAATGAGGAGCTCCAAGGAGCAGTAACAAGCTTCTTACACACATTGTTAGGCCTGTAAGGCCTGTACGGCTTTTGGCGGTGGGCTTGACGCGGACTTCTGGGCTTTAGCTGCACAGTGGGGCCTGAGGCTTTGAAGTTTGAAGGTATTGCGGCTCAATTGCATGAGCCTGTGCTGAATGGTTTATCGTTCTGTTGCATACTTAGGGTTGCCGAAAAAGCAGGCAAATATGCAATATGTATATAAATACATACATACATACATACATACATACATACATAGTACACACATTTATACCGATTCCTGAAGGCGCAGACTCAAGGATTCAAATTTCAGGTCGCAGGTTCGCCATTTCGGCGTTTCGTTGCCCTACCCGGCACTTGGCAATGCGGCGGTAGGCTCCACGAGACACTAGAGGGCCCCTCGAAGTACTTTGGGGTGCGAGGGTGTTTACCCTACACCCTACACACTCTAAGCCCTCCCTCTAACCCGTTTCAACTGCAAACCCAACGGATCAAGACCGAGCTCTTCAATGTCCCCCTGAAAGCTCACAGCTTTCGGGTCTCGGGGTTTCCATTCTCTGGGCCAGGCAGAAGCCTTTCTCCAACCACAATTGTGTAGCATTGCCTATAATTCTAGTTCCTTTGTGTGGTTGAACCAATTCAATGCTACATGTTTAGGATCTGAGACGAAGACCACAGCAAGGAACTACTATGGAGACAGTACTCGTACTTGCTCCCATGGAAAGCTGATTCCAGACATTTCAAGCATAACTGTCAGGACCCCATGAACTCCAATGGGGTGGAGCTTTTTGTGACCCTACAAAAATCAGGCCATGCTCCCGGAACCGAACTTGTAGCTTTGGAGAGGCTCTCCCTGCTTAAAGAATCGGGGGACTTGGGCTAGTAGTGTCACAAGTACTTTACTGAGGGGATGGAAAACATGAAAATATAGGCATAGCTCGGCTTCTATACAGCCGCTGTATAAGACTTACTCAGTCTTCCGATCCTTAACCGTGACCACCCCGCCCGCCCAAGAACCCAAAACCCTAACCTAGCAGCCACAAGAGAGAGAGTAGGATCCGGGCCGTGTCCGGCATCTGGTTTGTGTTGTATAAGTACACCGTCATGGCCTCCTCCAGCACCTCCAAGGGACTATTGAGATATCTGACTCTTGATTAAGAACTGCCAAAACAGATCCACCTTCTTTCAGGCCAGGAAACCCCCACTAAACAGGGCAAAACCCCAGAACCCAAAACATAGCCGGAACCGCAGACAAGTTCTGCCTCACCATCCTGACACACCGAAACCCTACAAGCGCAAGAACCAGTAGAATCCTATAATCACGCTTGCGGTTCACCGAGTTTTCTGTTTAGGGCTTTCGAAAAGAGAAGAGAACCTTTTTCTGGCGGTGGCAAGAAGAACTCGTACCCTCATTCCAAGCTGTAAACGGGCGCTTGGCACTCTCCGTCTGCAGTCTGCCGCGGCATTGTGACGCTGTTTTCAGGACTGTGGGCAACAAACCTTCAAAATCTTACAAAGTCCGTGATTTTTTCACAAGCGGCTCGACTACTGCACAGTCTGTGATAAACTCGAGACACCTTGTATACGTGACCATTACAGACTTCGCAAGCCACCTGTGGAGTCTGCTTCTGTTGACTGATGAGACACTCCCAAAAGTCCCAGCTGGCTGATATGCTTTAGCGCAACAGCGGCTTCTGTTGGGTTTATGGGGTTTCGGATTTTAGACTAGGCCCAGGGACGAAACCGCCCCTACACTGGAAACATGAAACACTCAACCCGTTCAGCCCCAAGCCGTAAAACCCCGCACTCGTGCGGGTTGCGGGTGCCTGAACTCGTTCTCCCAGCTGAGAGATAGAATCCTGGAGCCGTAGCTTGTCATTCTTGGCATCTGACTCCTGCGATATGCGGTATTTGTGGGAAAAGGGGACGGCCTCAGATGTTCAACCACCGGGGGTTTTGTGGTGAATGATTTGGGAACCTTCACGAATATGTTTCCAAGCCCTATGACTATCACCGCCAACCACCTCCAACATCATGCACACCTGTGACTACTAAGCCTTCCCCCCCATTTAAGAAGGAATGTCATCGAGATCTGGTAAGGCTCTACTCACAGAAAAAAATGGGGGGCTCACAGGAGCCTGCATTGCTATCCCCCCCCTTTCGAACCTGGAGGCCCACCATGTGCTCGATATATTGGCAAACATCTGACATCCTGAGCAAGGTTCCGGTTTTTTTTTCTGAACTCCTTTTTGGGTCTGGCAAGGTTCCGGTTTAGGGTTTAGGGCTTAGGGTTTAGGGCTTCGATGCGACATGGGGTGTGGGCTTGCTGTATTCAGGTGTACCAGTCGCCCTAAAGCCCCAAGCTGTGGGCTGAACTGCACTCATCTCTAACACCCTGAACCTCCTACGCTCTGGTTTTAAGGAAGAATTTCGGAGTGGATTGCCTGAAGCCTTAAACCCTCTGCTGCCGAAGTGTAGACCGCGGATGAATAAACGCCATCACCTGAGCCATGGCAGAACCTAGCCTCAGCAACACGTGGGGAGCTCTCGCAAGCAGGGTCCCTAGTTGCGTCCCCAGTCTAGTACGGCGGCACCATTATAAAACGGACCCGAAAAAAAGGACCCTAATTTAGAGAACTACTCACGTGCTGAGATACGACGCCTGTAAGCCCTGAAACCGTGATATCAGAAGGCCAAAGCTGTAAAGCCTTGCATCGTACTACATGGCCTGGTATGCTACTTATCGTGTCCATCCCGAATTGGCCCTCAAGGTTTCTACTATACTCTACAAATACTTATAAGACCCTTTGGGATCTACGGTCGCCTCCAAGAATTCCCTAAGTCCTGAAGGGGTTATAACTGTTTTTGAAGCCCCGAAACGGCACCTCACCTCAAAGCCCCACGAAGCTGCACACCTGCCCCCCCTTCCTCTAGTCCCACGGCCCCGTGCACATCTGGGACTGTGACGCCAGTATGAACGGAACAACAGTCACAAATAGCAGCGATTCATTCGCACAATATCTTGGCAGCTCTACAACAAGAGTCACACAATCTTTTTAAACTATATCTATATCCATCTGTCTATAATGTACATACACAATATAAATAATCCAACAAACACATATAAATGAATATAAATAAACAAACAAATAAATAAATCTATATATATATATACATAGTTGTATATACATACACTTCACTAGAAGTCGATCTTGCAAGCAAGATCCAGAAAGAACTCAAAGAGCCCATTACTAACCCATTACCCATTAAACCATAACGGGCTCTTCAATGTGATTTCAGACCCTAAACACCTAAACCTTAAAGAATCACAAAGGGATCTTGCATATGGTGTAATGATGTTTAAAGCCACTGGTCTGAACAGACCAAGTCCCGGACGACTTGCCCCGAGTCTTTCTCTCTTCGGCAAGTGCGGCTGTTAGCTGCTCCTCCAACTTCACGTGGAGACCTCATAAGGCCATTGGAGGATTTGGGGATTCACTTACACTAAGGGGTTATGGGCAGGGATAAACCAATATGCTGAAGCTTTCAGATGTGGGTAAGAAGATGTCGCATGCCGCGGAAGCTTGGCAGGAGTTCCTGTATGGCTTTTGCACTTCGGGTCTGTACAGCGCAGCTTCACTGATAGCCATGGCTTGCGGGGTCAATTCAGCATGAAAAACTAGGCCGTCTGTTTCGGCAGTCACTTCGGGCGCGCTATGTGCACATAGCTACAGGAAACAGTGCGAGAATTAGGGCTACTGAAGCTACAAGGATCTCACCTGGAGTACCTACAATCGTCACCATCAAGAGAGAGCCCGGTATGCGCCGTGATATTCTAAGCTGCTTGCTTAGGGTGTAGAGTGGCCAAGAAATTAACACGCAGGCTTTGACGGATTTGCTTCAAAGCCGAGGCAGGAACCGTCCACACGTAAACCAATCTCCTCGATGAATTGATCTGGCAAAGAGCACAGTGCTAAGCGTGGGTGCCTGGATAGAGTTTCGTGGCTGCAGCGGCAGTTGATTACCTAATTACTGCTGCCCGGGGCGATCGGACATAACACCAAGATCTAAACCCTAAAACCCAAAAGCCTAAAAAACAATCACCTCAACTGGCCGGCCTGCAAGGCAATTAGACTTCGTGTTTAAGCATTTTCTCCCCTGCAGCACCACAATTGGTCGAAAGCTAAAGCTGCCATGGCCTCTTCAACAGCTTCACGGGGATCCGAAGTCAATATGCGAACACTGACAAATCCAGCAAAAGCCATGTCGGAATTCCGGGGCCCTTTGTTCAGCAGGAGACTCATGTCAAAGGATATGGATGGGGCTTGCGTTTCAGGACGTGCTTTTGTTTCAGCAAGGGCTTAGATACTTAGCTTTCGTTTAAGGAGGGGGTGGTCTTACAAGCCATGTCAGCAGACGCTCGCCTATACGTTTCGATTTTGCCGACGGCGACGTCGGAATTGATTCCGGTTCTGCCTGGCCGAGACAACATCCGTGCAGTAAGCAGGGTACTGACGAAACTTGCCAACATGTAAGCCTGCTCTCATAATCATAGCCCTGCCCCTTCGAGAGGTCGAGCATGCAAACGCCGCACTGACCGTCCCACTCTCCATGTCCATGAGCCGTGTCTTGCTGGAGTTCGTCGTGGGAGCATGAAGTTAGACCGCCCCAAACCCTCTCTAGACCAGAATCCTCCAAAGAAGCATCCCTCTCCTGGAGTAGTGAAGATGCTGAAGACTCCACCCTGGGCGCGCTTCCACTTGCTTCGCAAGGTCGTAAGGCTTGAGGTTGGAAGTCTAAGGTTTGGGGGTGCAGAGTTCAAGGGTTTAGGATGTGCAGTGCGGGGAATTGCAAAATTATGACAAGCACGTGAGAACTCCGTCCATCGAAGGTGGCATGCGATGTCTTCATAAATCCTTCCTACTGCCACGAAGCGTAAGAACCATCAAGTATCATTATATATAGTGGCTTAGCGGCGTAGCGCCTGTTGCGCCTCTGCCTAGCATTATCATTCTTGGCACTATGCTTGTGCATCTGTTTATAGCTTGCACTGTCAGTATCGGGCTTTGTTGCGGGACATCCTGGGAAAGGCCAGGCTGCAGAGAGAAAACGATCAGCCGAGCCCAGGGCCAAGTCAAAGACCCGCCGCCCCAGAACCCTAAGAAGGTGTATGTGCATGTAGATATACACAGAGTCATCGATATATCCACAAACTTATCTACATACCAAAATGTTGGTCTATCTATTTGCCGATGATTTGTTTGATCTTTAGGTGTATGTATAATATATATATATATATTTATTTATTTATTTACAAATACACACAAACATATACATAAGTGTGTGCGAAGATTATATAACTTGCTATTGTACTCGTATGTGCCTTGATGTACACATGCGCCTCACTTACACATGCAAGTATACGGAGTGCACACAAAAACGTGTACATGTATACATAACCCAATACGTACACACCTACCGGACCTACCTAAACCCACCCATGCATGCATGCCTGCATGCCTGCATGTACGGATGTATCTGCATTGTACCTTTCTCATCACAGCACCTGTACAAAAAGCCGGCATGCCAAACCGGCAAGATTCTCACACGATACGGCCACGAAATAGTCTGACGATGCTACAATATGACTCCTTGTATATACGGCTTAGGGCCCGGGGCTGGACTGTAGTCTAGACCCTACACCAAGAAGCACCTGTGGAGTCAACATCGTTGGAAGCCTTGACTTTGTAACCCGATGCCCCATCTGATTCCTTGTGAACCTAAGCGGCCCATCGACGGAGGGGAGCCAGAGGTAGTTTAGGCCCGGGGTAGCTTAGGGTTTGGGGTTCTGTTGTCAGGGTTGAGGATTCTCAGGCTTTTATTTGGACGCACAACTCCTTGCTCAGAATGCCAAAATACCCACGAGGAAGGACAACAGGACTGTTCAGAAACATCTACAGCGCACTGAAACTCAAACCCTTGTCGAACTCACAGATACTGTAGGGGCCCGACGTCGCGTGCTTGGATCCGATTTCCTCTAGCTCACGTCCTGAACGGTGAGGCTTCAGTACCCACAGGAATCAAGTTCGAGCCCTTCGAGTTTGAGTTTCGGGTCTGAGGAGTTTTGCGTTGCAATCTCCAAGGGGTACGCGAAATCTTGTCACTTCGAGGTAGGGATTCCTTCGCTGCTCAGCCTTTCTGCGTCGAAGGACCACACAGGCAGTGATATAACGTGCTCTCCATTAACTCTCAGTCGGATATCCTCGCCCCAATGATTGCATCTGCTACCCATAATCCTGCCATATGGCGCCGGGCAGTTTGATCTCCTGCATGAACTGACCCAACATCTGGAAGCTGAGCTCCAAAGTGTAACATTTCAACCTAAACGCCGGGCCAAGACCCTAAACCCTAAACGCTGAGCAACACTTAAGAGCCTGAAATCCTCAAGACGTAGCCAGAAACACAACCGGAAAGCCTCCTCAACCCCTAACTTCGGGCACTAAACACCAAAACGAACTTGCTCCCAAGACTTGTTGACCCCACACGAAGTTCAATCCGAGCCTGAAACCACAGACCCCAAACTTTGCCCAAACCCTAAACCCTACATATAGAATCCTAAACCCCAAACCCTCTAGTCTTAGCATCCGGAAAAATTGGAACACCACCGAGGCTGCCACGTGCAGCTTCCAACGCTGCCTGGCCAGGTCTGGAAGCGGAGTGCTGGACGTTGCGGCTTTAGGGGTTAAGGCAAGGGGTTAACGGTTGAGGGCTTTACACGTCGTGGGAAAGGGTCTTAGGTGGTTAGGGTTTAGGGTTAATTACGGGTTCCGGATTTTCGGAACTGTTAGCAAGCATGGTCGCAACCAAGATTCATCGACACTGCCTCAGCTTTGACGCCTAGCGGCAGGGTATCCTGCAGCATCCTCTTTACATGATTCTCTTTGTTCGGCTCCTCTTTGACCTCTGAAAGGTAAAGCATTCAATGAACCCCGAAGAACACAAGTAAAAAACTCAGCCAAGCGTAGACTTCGAGAGTCTTCGTAAGTGTAAAAGCGAAAAACTAACCCTAAAGTCCTAAGCCCGAAACCGAGATGACTCAGATCACTATAAATCGTAAACCTCCCAACCAAACCCTGCAATCCTACTGCAAACCTATATATGCCCTTAGCCCGCGAAACCTGCTAATTACACCCTACAAGGCTTACAAACCCTAAAACCTTGAACCCTGAAATCTTGAACCCTATCTATATATATATATATACACACATATATAAATATATATAAACCGTAAACCCAGTCAAAAGGGGCCTGGTGACCTGCCTGTTGCTCGCGTCGGAGCCTCTGCTCCATGGAGTTCAACATCGCACCCTTGCGTTTCAGAAGATCGCGTGGGCTTAGCGTTTGAAGGCTTATCGTGGTTAGGATAGATTTAGGGCCTGATAAGCGTTTATAAGTTTTAAGGGGTTCAATGTTAGAGTTTCAGGTTCCAGAGGTTTGCGGCTTCAGAGTTCAGCATTCTTCCCACATCGAAATGCCCAGCTGATGCAGGGGCTTCCATTAACTACTAGACTGGGTCTCTTTAAAGGATCCTTTGCGGAGTTTCTTTCATGATTGCGATGGAGTACTAAACAAGTTCTATGATACACGGGCCTTAAAGGGGAGCATTGGGCACCTCAAACCCCGGGGATCAACTTGTCCCGAATATTGCTGGGCTTCAGTCAACGTGCGATAGATCCAAGGCTGCAAGGACTAGCGGAAAGCCTTAAAGACCACGTAAACCATCCTAACGAGTACCTCACCACAAATGGAGCAAAGACCGAACGCCTCTATATGACACTCATTCCGCCCGTGCTGAATGGGACATACCAGGTACACCACTCATGGTTGTCAGCTGATTTGGGATTCTACTCTTGCGAGGCTGTAAGAGTCGGCTCGCAGGAAGGACATTGTCACCGAGTAAAACAGCAACAAGGATTTACATGGTAAGCCCCGCTCTTTTCTGCCATGATAGAAAATTCTAGCTGTTTGTAGCTTCTGAAGCCCCGCCACCAAAAAAAAAACAGCTGCATTGATTCAACCAACTCTGGAACCCATGGTGAACCTGGCTTCCCAAAGGCCCCTGAAACTGAAACACTGCAAAATCAGGCCAGCCCCTCCACACTCCCACATCCTGCTGGCCCCCCAGTTTCCAAAGCACGACCTTTCTCCCCAACAATTTAATCCTAAACCCCTTAGCCGAAACAGTTCCCTCGTGTCGCATCCGGATTTGTGCATTCGCCTACTAGTATCATAAACGCAAACCCTAAATTCTAAGTCCTAAACTTCTAAATCCTAAACTGCTTGCAAAAGCGGGTTGCAAACTGATCCGTCAAGGCCGCCGACTCCTGGCTCAAGACAAGGCCCCAGTACTGTCAGGGGGAACACCAGCCCAAATCATTCCTAATACAGAGACACACCTCAAGCCCAAAGAGCCTAGCTGTTCATGGACCTATGCGGAAATCTTCAGAAGAAGCCTTAGCAAACTACAACAAAAGAAACTAAATATGTTGTATGGGGTACGGTAGGGTTTGAGATGTGAGTGCAGGCATCACGGCTTCTTACTTAAGGTGCAACTTTTAACGGCTTTAAGGTTCAAGGCTTCAAGTTCAGGCTTAGGGTTTTGGTGAGGGGTTCTATAAGGGTTTCGAAAGGACGTGGTGTTATTCGGTGGGTACATCTGAATGCTTGCGAAAAGGTTTCATGAGAGTTTGAAAGTAGTGACGACGTAAATGAACAACTCACCAACCCACCGGAAACAGGAGCCCCTATACTCCTTGACAGTGGGTATTGGCTGCATGATGGAATGTACCGGAGAGGCCTAGGTAGCTGGACTTCATCACCTTCTCAGCTCAGGCTTACTTGTTTTGGGTGTTTGGGTGGAATTCTGGCAACACGGGTGCCGAAGCCCCTCCACCGAAACCCCACATGACCGAAGGGTTCCCAAACTCTGCTGCACCAATGCCTGGCGAATTTCTTCCTTGACCTGCGCCTTCAATTTGTCCAGTTCCAGGAAACCTGGAATCAGCTTGAATCTGTTGTTGGCGGAAAAGTCACAATGCAAAATTCAATGTGTTGGAGTTGTGCCCGGTAGTGTAAGGGTCGAAAAGCCAAAAGACCGACAAACTTATCGGCGATTGTGGGGTCGGCCCAGAACGATCGACAAGGAGTGGCTGGTTCCTTGTAAGTACCAGCTTCCAAACAAACAAAAACACCATGGCTTGGCCACTTGCGATTGCACGAAGCCAAGCAACACCTGGCCGTTTCGGATTTGACCACCTGGACAGCTCAGTAGATTCGGAATGCAGGCTTGCACTATCATATATACAACGACCTTGACATGCAACACGCTGGAACTAAATGGACGGCACGATGCTCTTTGACAAGCGCATTTGATGGCACAATCCGAACCATTCCTTTATGCATAGTTCAATTGCACTGTTCTTGGAACCCTGCCTGTTGCCTGGATGGAAACACGTCTCGTCAGCTCTGTGATCCAATTTTTGCCGTGCTCCCTTGCTTCGGCAAATATTTTTAACGTAGCTTCACCCTGGCTTTGTGCATGCGGTATCCGAAGCGTGCCTGGCTGAGATTTTCTAGCTGCCTTTCTGATGCATCGGCCCACCATCGTCGCTCTGCCTGGCTCAACACCAGGGCTGCGGCAATCTAAACCCACAAATCCCAGCAAACAAACCGTCCCCACAAGTGAGGCGGCCTCGATGGCAGCCGTGGGAGATGCGGACATCGGAGACCCGAATACAGCATTGCTACCTGCAACTGGAAACCCTCACATATGCACATGGGGGCAAGACTGTGGGCGCGTAGGGCCGGGCATACATGCTATGACTCTGTGATCTGTGGCTATGGTTCGAGGGGGCCGGTGTTGAAAAACAAAAATTCAACAATAATTTCATCACAGGTGCGCCGGCTGCTCAAAGAATCGTGCGGGGAGCCGCCAACTTGACCAACAGGCAGAGATACCGGCACTGACTGCATAGCCCTCTCGGTGCATCGTCGTGATTCTTCCGGCGTCATCTCTTCAAACCTCATGTTGAGCAATTGTTGTCGATGGGCACGAAATGGAGAGCTCACGGGTTCCGCTTGGTCCAAGATGTCCGCATCTGAGTCAGCTCCCGCCTTGCACAAAAGACTGCGCAGCTCTTTCTCTAAAACTTGCCATGCGCAACAAATCTCCCAGAAACATTGCAAACCCAGAATTACCACAAAAATTGCCATGGGTGCCAACTCAGGCAGGCACCGCGGCTGTACCCAAACCGGGGATGTATGGCAACATTGTCCGTCACCGGTCGGACGAGTACCCCGCCCACATCTCGGCCAAAAGGCGCTGCAGAGTGCACGTGCCATGGTGTTAAACTGTTGAACACTTGTAATGAGCAGACTGAATAGCTTTGGGCCTGGGTCCTTTCACCTGCTGTGATGTGACAAATTGCAGATCGACAAAGTCCGAAGCTCGGCAACGGCTTCAGTTATGATGAGAACCGGTCCCGATTCAGGAAGCCTCCGTGTTGCTGTTGCTTCGCTTGAGCTACTGTCCGCACCACTTCAATTGTGTCTAGTTCGGGAGGTGGGCGGCCCTGTGGGTGACTGTGGCTCGTGGCGTCCTTCGCCAACAAGCATATGACAATTTCAAGAGGTATCTGACCGTCTTTGTGCTAAGGCAATTCTCGAAGCACGCAAGTTTGTCTTGTGGGAAGCAAAAGTGTTGTGCGTGCTGTGTCTCAAAATGCCGAAGGCTGTTGCACCAACATCTAACTTTGCATTCAAATCATGCTGACGGCTTCCAACCTGCAACACAAACATTATGAAAACCAATGCGCCATACATGGTTATCATGAAAATCATATGTTTATACAACTCAAGGTTTCCACGGTTGTCGGCGCCGTCGAAAGTCGCCATTTCACAGGTGCACATATATGTTCGACATCGTACTCCTCATTGAGCATATGCGGAAAAACGCCGGTAATGGGCTTATACCGGGCTACAAATAAGAACGGCAACTGGTTTGCAACCACAACGCAGCAGCATCAGCAGCAGCAGCAGCAGCAGCGCAGCAGCAGCAGCAGCAACAGCAACAGCAACAGCAACAGCAACAGCAACAACAACAACAGCAGCATAAACGAACTAACAATGTGGCAAGAACAGGAACACGTTTTTTTGTTCAATCAGTAACGCCATAGTTACAATGGAAGAATACAAGTAACCTTCATAGCCCCAGCGGCAATAAGCGTCGTTTCAGGGTGGTAATTCGTGCAAGTCATAACACCGACAAGTGACAGCTGCGGCATGGTGTCGCCAGCAGAAGTGATACTCGTCGTCGACACACACTAGTGGCAGAATCGTCGTGGTGGTGGTGGTGGTGGCGGCGGCCATCGTCGTCGTAGGCGTGAAAAGAAAAATGACGTGATAGTGTGTGAACAAAAAAGGAAGCTGAAGTAAACATAGCAATTCGTCCAAGGCCACGTTTTCATAAATAGCATCGTGGCCGGCACCCCATCCCCAGCGTAAGGGCTTCACTTAGGCAGGACTCCGCACTTGGTGCAAATCAACATGGCCAGCATTAGCAGCAACAGCAGCAGCAGCGCCAGCGCCAGCAGCACCAGCAGCATCAGCATCAGCATCAGCATCAGCATCAGCGTCAGTGTCAGCGTCAGCGTCAGCACGCATCAGCAGCAACTGCATTAGCAGCGGACCTTCTCGGGGATGGGCCGGCGGTGTTTAAGAGCCCTTCGCAAATACTCACCCCCCTGACTGGATATCACGACTCGAAGCGTTGCGGGTGTTGGAGCTGGGACATTTGGCGGATCTTGATCCCGTTCCTCAGAGTATGCAAGGGCTGGCTGATGAGCTGCTCCGTAGATCAAAGCTACGTGGACAATGCGTGTTACGGGCTGCAGAAGGTAGCAAGGAAGGCTTCTCCCTACACTCCCCGACCGAGCACGACCGCAGCGTGCTGCATTGCTTGGCCCTGCTGCAGCATGTCCAAACTGCTCCATATGACCCACTGCCCGGCCTGGCCGCCCGCAGGGCCCACCTGCCACTTCACCACGGGGGTCTCGGCCTCCGCAGCGCCGCAGCGCACGCCCCAGCAATTTATTTCGCCTCTTGGCCCAACTCGCTTTGCGCCATCAGGGCGCCTTCTGCGACCGCATATTTTGCAACAACTCGCAGATCCCTCATGCAACCTCCGCTGCCTCGCATCGTTCCAAGGTGCTGCGGTCGCCTGACCAACCACGGCCTGAACGTGCCGGCATGGGGCGCGCTGCTCGCCGAGCCTCCACCTGAAGCCGAAGCTTATCCCGCACTCCATAAGCCCGCAGAGTTCGCGCGCGGTTGGAAGCGAACAGCTTCCACAGGGCTGTCGATGAAACTCTTTTGGCCGATCTCGCCTCTGCGCTCGACGAGGCATCTGTTGCTTTGTTTCACTCCCCGAGCGGCCCCTTCGCCGGTAGAGTGTGCACCGCCCTCCCCGTGCCGGGAGCTGCGGCTCGATTCAGTGTTCCCCTGCCTCTTGATGCCGCGACTTGCCGGGGTGGGAGCAGCTTTAACTCATTCGGTGATCACCATGCAGCTTGCCCACGTGCGGGACTCCTCCGCGGCCGAGGCATTCCACTCGAACGCGCAGCTGCGCGCATCTGGGCCACAGTCGCAACCAATGTTCTCCTCCGCGATCTCAACATCATTACCCGGCGATAGGACGACCGGCGTATAGAGGGGCGGAGTCCAGCTCGCCGTCGACACTACTCTCGTGTCGGCCCTCGGTGCAGGAGGCCGCCCACGGCGGCACCAGCGCAACACAGTCGGTGCCGCCCTCCGCATCGCACGACGCAAACAAGGAGCGCACCTACCCAGAGCTCCTGCGCTTTTGCGGCCGCCAGGTCCTTTGCGGTGTCGCTGTCGTCGCTGCCCCTCCACGGCACCGCCAATGTCCATGGCCCTCTGCCAGACCTCAGCGATGTGCTCGCTGAGCACCGGCTAGACAGCCCACGGCTCGCCAGTCGGCTGCCCGCACGGTGATATGCACTCCTGCCACAACTCCTCCGCTCCTCACACCACCGTAGACCACAAACTGCACAGCTGCAAGCGTCAGTAGGCGATTTGCCGGCGCAAAGTGTACAGTGCGCACTCCGGGCAAAAACTGGTTGCGTTATTCACGGAGCATGATAGAACGATGTGCCCCGAGCTCGAAAGCAGTCTGAAAGACACATGGCACAAAACAGTGCTGCGATTGACAATGAAATATTGGAAAACAACTTCGAAACCGTTCTGGCAGCCCAAACTGGAATGCGCGAGGACTGTAAAGCATTCATGGACAAGTCTGCGGAGAACTTTCGAAGAAGCGGATAACTAGCGATAAACAGATCGTGTGCAGCTGAAGCCGTGCGTGGAAACGGGCAATCGGAAGCTGTAGCAATCCACAAATGTCACGGTCAACAATCAACGATCGGTATGAGCAGGTCAGCTGGCAATGGCTAGCGGTGATGCTCGCAGTGCAACTAACGTTGCGCGCCTGGCTGGGTCTAATTTTTTCATTGCGCCTATCGCGGCCACCAGCCCCGGGTGCCCCATTCTCCGGCAACAGTGGCAGGCGTAGGGCCGACAACGGCAACAGCGATGCGAGCATGAGTGCCCCCTTGTCGAGGGGGCGGGGTGAGGCCCGCCCCCCCTTATACGGCTGAATCCGTTTCAGCCACCCGCATGAAACAGAATAGAGCCTAGGGGGGTGAAGGTTCCGTGAAATTGCAACCGGGGTGCGTGGAGGGGGGGGTTAGTGGGCTGGGCCCCGCAGATCTGTGCATGCAGTGATAAATCTCGGCTTTCTCAATCGCTTCATATTTGTTCTTCGTCCAGCAGCTCCCCCTGGGGCGGGGGAAAGGGTTGTTGCAGGAAGCAGCTGCGGGAAAGGGTTGTGAAAGATGTGAAAGGAGCCGTGAGTGACCCTGCACAGTAGGATTTTTTTTCTTGCGAGGTCGGCCAATGTGCTGGGTGGATTTCGAAAAAAATATAGTAGCGGCCTAATCAAGGAAGCCACAACCATGGCCCCGCATAGTAGGAATTCAATAGATTTCAAAAAAATATCATAGCAGCCCAAGAACGAAGGTCACCGCAACCCCGCATGGTGGGGGAATCGTAGATTTCTAGTCTGAAGGCCATTGCAAACGATCTCATGCGATCTCCCTTTCTCTTTAAGCCGGTGTCCTGCCGAAGCGAACGGCGACTCTCTTGAAATGGTAAATGACTCGATAAATATTTCAGAGCCTCACCCCGCCTCCCCCATTTGAAGCCACGAGGGGGTGGTGATATGCGAGCAGGAAATCTGCGACGGCGGCTTTTTGAAGCTTCTGCGGGGAGGAAGTCCTCCTCGAGGATATGGCATCTCCCCCACCGGCCTAATTGTTATATTTCTCGAGACACATGGTGCTGTCGTCATGTGTCATGCCATGAAATGTGTTGCCCGCATGCAAACCCATGTTGTTTCTATTTTTTGTTTCCAGGCCCACGGCGATTAGTGCTGCAGGTGCGACAACAACGACCACATTCTGTTACTAGCGATCGCGCCTGTGCGACAACAACATAGGTTTGTTTGTTTCTGCGCTTGCACGTGGGTGTCCACGTCGACAAAGCCTGCGCTGTCCTCACGCGCTGGCACAGGGATGCGGCTGCCAGGGACGTGATCTGTCCCCTGAGCCTGCACCAGGAGGTCGCCCAAGGCGCGTCGCTATCGCCTTGCTCTGCACTCACAGGGCGGATGATCGTAACGCCAGTGACCCCGGCTTTGCAAAATAAAAGTTCAAGGAGTTTTAGTGCACTGGCCACGCCAAACCGCCTGCCTCCGTCCGGGCTCGTAGGAGCTCGACGGGACGAGGGACTGCAGCGGCCCCTGGCCGTGCAAGAAAACTCGTCTCTTCTTGGTGGGCCACCAACCGCCAGCTGCGCCCGAATCGCGCACACACATTGTGACGCATTATGACACATTCAGGGCCGGGATGGCAACGCACCGCCGTGGCTTGCGAAGACCGGACAGCATGCGAGAGCCTCTTATCTGACCCTCACCAGGCTTCTCCTGCTGCGTTTCTGTCTCAAGCGGGCCCTGGCCGGTCACTGCGCTTCCAACAGCACCCGAGCTCCGCATGCCTAGTACAGTAGTGAGTGCATGTGCATTTTGTTGAGACTTTACTGCCGATGCGGCGGGGCCTGTGATGTACGTGTTATACGTGGCCCTCGCACGGCTTGCCCATGGTTGCCCCACGGCGGGCGTGCTGGGCCACGCGCCCC